AGCTCAATGCTTCTGCAGCATACCATCCAGGAGTGTTGAGCATTGCGTGTATGACTAGTTATATGTGTACACATACCTCTCCTTAGTTTGTGTGTGTGTGTGTGTGTGTGTGTGTGTGTGTGTGTGTGTGTGTGGCCCTGATCTCTGGCATTTTGAAGAGTGAGGCAGTAGGTAGAATACTGATAAATAATGGAATGGATGCGCCAACCCATGAAGCTGAAAGAGTAATAGACAGATAAAGCTTTTTAAAATATTCACAGGGTCACTCTTCAAATTATCAAACTTCTGGCCTGAGCTTTGCTATCACTCATCTGTCTAACTGGGGATGGATTTTTCCTCACTCTCTCCTTTCCCCTGTTCATCCTTTTCCCTCTACCTCTCAGTCCTCTCTCTTTGCTTCCCTTTCTCCCTTGTCTTAACATTCATCCTAATGGTGATATGCAGGGCTTAACCATGAAGGAGATGCAGCCCCTAGGCTCAAGGAGCTTTTACTCTAAGAGGGACTGATGTGCAAACCAATTTTGACTCACAGTCACTGAATCCTTCCCTGTGGAAGAATTCAGGAGCAGAGTGCAGAAGAGAGTTCATGTGAAGGCTGCCTAGAGGAAATGGCAACAAAGTTCAATCTGTTTTTTTTTCCCAGTTTTTATTTTTATCCGTGTAAGTTTGTAGTACATAATGATTTCATTCCTCAAGGGGAGTTGGTACATGTACACAACACATCTTAATTCTTTTTTCATCCTTTTTCCCTCTCCTCTTTCCCTCCTTCTCTCTCTTTCTCTCTCTCTCTTCTCCTTTTCTTCCTCCCTCCCTCTTTTTTTTTTGAGACAGGGTCTCACTATGCAGTTCAGGCTGGCCTTGAACTCACTATGTAGCCCAGGTTGGCCTCAAACTCTCAGAGATCCTCTTGCTTCAGCCTCCTGTATGCTGGGATTACAGGAGTGTACCATCATGACCTAGCCCCTCCATCTCTTGATTTCCTTCCAATTTTCAAAAGAGCTATCTCTTTATATCTTATTATCTTTCTTTTACTTTGCTATTTAGAAATCAACCTTCCTGTTTATGAGTGAGAGGAAGGCATTGATCTCTGAATGTTGCTTTCAACTCCATAGTTGGTTTTTGAGCTCTGTGAGAGGCCAGTACTCCATGTGGTTTATTGATGGATCTTCCAGATAGTTTTACAAGAGAAAGACACCCTCCTCTCTGGATCTCTACTAGGAGCCTCCTTCATGTAGTGCAACCCCTCCAGCCCTGTAAGGATGAGGCATCATTTACGTCTGCTTCTGTTCTAGGGGGTGGGGTCTGTCTCAGCCTTGGGCAGCCCTCTTCCAGGACCTTCCCTGCTTGCAAAGCACAGGAGAGACTATGAGGGTGTTGTTTCAGAATGCTGCAAGGCTTCTCAATCCTACCCCTTCCAAGGCTGTGGGCTGCCTATCATGTTCACATGCTCCACTGCTTATCTGTTACATCTGTCAGGGAATCGCTCCCTTAGAAGAAGAACCCTTCACTCCCCATGCTTGCCCATTGTCTCCTCTTAGATCCTGAGAAGTTGTTATCTTATACCTTTGTGAACTGCTTCTCCTAGGATACAGAGAATGCCTGAGGAAAACCATGCATTCTATTCCCATCCCGGCCTGCCTTCAGCCTTTGATTTTTTTTTTTCCTCTTGGACCTTATCCTTCACCCTACTGTTGGGGATGACGTAGTTCTCTATCAGTGAAAGAAATTATTTTGTTTCCTTTGTTTTGGTCATTCATTTCAGAAATATGAGTCTTACCTTATCTTATTTTTAAAAATCTGGGTAATAATCCCAGGATGATGTAACTCTGCTTATTATCTCTTTCTTGGGTTTTAGCATTCAGATTTAACCCAACAAGTTCATTTTTATTTACCTTTTTCTCATCCTCCATACTTTAGCATTGTGAGAACAAATTTGCTTAATAACACCGGAATAGTTTTCTTTTAACCTGCTGCCCATTGAGGAAACTTCCTCCATGTTCCTACCCAGTCTTTAAGCTTTCTTTCCTGAAGGACTGATCATTTGGGATAGGCTCTTCACATTCCTACTTTCAGACTCTCAAGACAGCGTTTGGAAGGTGACCAAAGTGGACCTGTAGGTGAGGACAGCCTCGAGAATAGCGATTTCTAGGTAGGTGGGCTGAAGCTGGGCTACAAAGAGGTCAAAGTTAGTTTATAGCAGAATTCCTAGACTGGCCACGATTAGGTGGAATATTTATGGAATCTCAGTATGGATCCTACTTTCCCTAGTGTCTCGACATTGAGCATGGCCCCATGGCCAGACTGTCCTGCACAGGGAGTCTACAGGTCTCCAACCCCACAGTGTCCAAGTTCAAGGTGAGCCCTGGGGGGGGGGTCTTCCAACACTGTTTTGTGTGGGGGAGGGGAAAGCCTTTCTTACTGGGCAAGGACTACAGGTCAGAAAGTAGATAGGTTCACAACAGTGAACAGGACCTGCTGGTTTTTGTTTTGTTTGGGTTTGGTGTTTTGGTGTATGAGGGGAATGAATAAGTGAAGGACTTGGTCCCTTTTTTCCATGCTTATTTTTCCCTGCGCTACCATTTCAGTAGTGTGACAAAGCTTATTCAATTTCATTTACCCTTCTCAGAAAAACAGTTCATCCTGAGAGATGACTGAGCGCTTGGATCACAAAGCTTGTCATTGCATAGGCTTAATTGTTGTGCAGTAAGTAGAAAATCTTAGTAGAGTATCTGTGTATTAGCCTAGACTAGCTATATTCTTAAGAATTTCTGATAACTTCAATTTCTGCTTCATTCTGCAATCAGTTTTACTGCAGTTGCAACTAAACTATGCTTTAAGATTCTGCCCATATAATTATTTTGTCTGTAGGAAAATGTTAGTAGTTCTAGCAATTTTAATTCTTGTGTTTACTGACTGCTTTACTTTCTGAATCATAGGTTCCCAAATCAAGTCAAACAGGTTAGAAGACAAGTTATACTTTAATGTCACACCTACTCTTATCTTAAATGAGTGTGGGAATATATCAGACACTTTTACTATATTAACACATTCATTTCTGGCTCCTTGTGAACTTTTGAGGTTGGATAAAACCCAAATTCTCCCAAACCCTTTAAATGCAAAAAACACGGGGCTGGGGATTTAGCTCAGTGGCACAGCTCCTGCCTGGCAAGCGCAAGGTCGTGAGTTCGATTCCTGGTACCGGAAAAAAAACAAAAAACAGACAAAACAAACAAATAAATGCAAAAAACATACGAAAGTATGTGTAGTTAGAACTATTTATGTTTTTAGTTCTCAATGAGAATTTGCTTACATTCTTCAAAGTGCAGACTGCTAACAGTGACATCTGATGCTTGGAGGCCAGAATATTCATTATTCAGTCAAGAGAAGGAATAAATGTTTTATGCCATTGACTTTTCATTCTCGTTGCTGTCAGTCATATAAGAGATGTCAAATACATGGACTTTTCCATAAGGACTGTCGTGAATACGTGTGTTGGGAGGTATGGAAGTCACAAAGTCTCAAAACCAGCCAGAGCTTGAGTCCCACCTACTCCCGCTCCTGCAGGTTACCTCTGCGGGAACTCCCCTGCAGGACAGTTGCCCTTTGCGCAGGTTTTTCACCTTTGGACCTAAACCCTCTTCCACATAATTCTTTTAATATTCACAAACAGCTATTGCTCATCTCCTAAATTTTCTCTTCTGTGTTGTCAACAGAAAGAGCCTTTAACCTATAATTTATATAGCACTGTTTCAAGACCTCTCCTACCATCTTGATTGCTCTTCCCTGGGCAGCCTTTAATCCGTAATTCACCCTCTTCATCTAAAAGTAGCACACAGACTTGGGGGTATAGCTCAGGGACTGAGCACTTGCCTGGCATTCTGAGTCCTTGGGTTCAGTCCTCAGCAACACCCACCTCCTTGTCAAGAAAAAAAGAACCAAAACAAGTACAGAAAGTTTTTTCTTGGGCTTTAGATTTGTGTGTGGAATAAGGAGGCAGAACTTAGATTTGGATTTGGTCTCATTTCTTCGAGCCATGTTAAGACCTAAGGGCTGTTGGCACTGGAATCCTTCCAGTTATAAATATAGAATGAAATGAATCAATAAGTGAAAGTTTTTAGAATTTAGCAACACTCTCTTGGGACTGTTATAAGTTCAGGGTTCTTTGAAAACTGTTGATCTGTTAATACCGATCATTTCATTGCATCTTAAGAGAAATAGATATCCGAGCATTCTATGTGTCCATTCAAGGAGCAATTTTAAAATGCCTGTGTAAACCACAGGCTATCAGGTGCTAGAAAACAGAGATCAATAAAATATGGGTTTAACCTTGAGCACCTCACAACTAATATGGAAGTCAGCAGTAAACAATTACAGCACAGAGTGATCAGCACGTGGGCTGAGTCATGTTCAAGGCCCGGGAGAGTGGAGAGTGTGTTGTGAGGTAACCTCTGCTGCAGGCTCACGTCTGCAGGATAGCATCTTTTATCTTCGATCACCAACATTTGTATGCAGTGTATGCTAGACATGGGATTGAGGCGTTTATGTATATTGTTTTATTTCTGTTTAGGCTTTTAAGAGTTTACTCCTCTTACATACTCCATTTTGCATTTGGGGAAAGTGGGCAGAGATTAAGTGACTTGCCTAAGATCACACACAGTAAGTACTGGATCCAGAATTCAAACCCAAGATAGCACCCAGGCTTTATCCAGGGGAGTGGTTACCAACCGGGACTGATTTTGCCCCCACCCTCATGATGTTTGACAGTGTGTGTGGATATTCTGATTGTCACTACACTTGCATCCAGTTAGTAGAGATGGGGCAGGTCGGTAAACATCATCTAGAAGGTAAGAAAGCTTCCCAAACAAAGAATTACTCAGGCTAAAATGTCAGAAATGAAAAGCTCTGCTCTAGAGCATAGGGACTATCTTTTGTCAGTTTCTAAAAAAAAAAAAAAAAATAGCTTTTCATAGTCACCAGGTGGCCCTGGTAATTGGTTTCAGGAACATCTGAGAATATGAAAGTACTGAGGTGCTCAAGTCTTTTATATAAAACTGTGTAGTATTTGCATATAACCTATGCACTTCCTCCTGTATACTTTAAATCATCTCTAGATTACTTAGAGTATCTAATGTAAGCGCTTCATAAATAGTTGATAAGCTGTCTTGTTTAGGGAATGAGGACTGTATATGTTCTGTATTGACACAATTTCATTTTCAAATATTTCCAGTGCTAGTGTGGCTGAATCCATGCATGTGGAACCTGTGGGTACTGAGGTAGGCTGACTGTGCTTATACCACGGGGAGCATATTTTTTTAAAACAAGAGATGAGTTAGTATAGGGCAAAAATACCGCCCCTAAGCTCTCCTGGTCTGGGAAAGTATGTTTTGTCACTGAATGTTCCTGAGCCTCAGTCTCTCCAATATCACATTGGGAAAATACTGTACTTTGTGTACCTTTGTGGGTTTCAGGGATCTGAGAAGGCTAAGAGCGCTCAGAGATTATTCCGACGAAGCCCCTGTGGACAAGAATTATCCTCTGAAACTCTTACAGTCCTTGGTGTCAAAATCTTTCTGTGGCCATAAGGATTGGAAGACCCCACAGAGGACTTCTTTTTACTTTGTCAGCCCATAGTTTCCCCTTTTTATCTTCCTACTTTTTATCATTATTTACTGGATGGGCTAAGATGCTTTTTAAGAGATTTTATTTTTTGCTTAATTTTTAAGCAGTTATTATTCCATGTTATACCAGGTTTTACAGCAGTGACTTAAATTCTAATTTTTTCTTATATACATGCATTTATGGTTGGGAGGATTATTTAAAATACCATAGCTTTCTTCAAAATGAGTAACAGTGACTAATTCATCCCTACTCTCCACTTCTTCTTATCAAGCTCCATCATCCTTAGAGGGAAAAATAGCTCTAGCATTTGCTAAATCAAAGTCAGATACTATATTTAGATGCAGTGATTGAGCATTACCTAAATCTCTAGTAACCATCCGTGAGGCCATGTAGGTATGCACGTAGCAATCCATTATATGGATGGTAAACTCATAAATTTAGTTTAACCGTGGTTTTCTGGGAGGGTGGCTTCATGCTTTGCTTGCTTTTCCTGTATAACACAGGGCGTCACTGGCAGGAGTCATGAGGGACTTCCCTGGGAGCGTTGGAAGGTGATCTGCCCTGCGGTGAATCACCGGTCGGCCTTCAGGTGTGCGCAGCACACACCAGCGTGTTCCGGCGCAGCAGCAGGATTTATTTATTTATTTTGGGGGACGGATCCATTCCGGGCTCTGGGATGGGGGAGCGGCAGCGCAGGAGGATGCTTGGTGTCCCGCGCCTGCTCCGAGCTGCACACCGGGCCCTGCTCCCTTTCCCGGGAGGCCCTGCTCTGGGGCTGGGGAAGCCTCTGGAGGGGAGGGGGCACTCCCGAGGTGTCAGGTTCAAGTCCTCCCATAGGCCAGTTTTCTAAAAGTGCTTTTAAGTTTTCATTTTCATTCCCCAAGGAGCGGGGGAGGGCAAGAGGCGCTTTTTCTACTCAAATTCTTTTCCTTGTATGTAGATACCAACAAGCAGCTCCGCACTGGGCATGTTCGGATGTGAGTGATGTCGCTGATAAGCAACAGCCCGCAGGAACCAGACTTAAAATAGTCGTGCTCCCCCCTCCCCGAGCTGCAAGTGGTATCTGCCAAACAGATGACAAAGTACCTTGGACTGAATCACACCAGACAGCCTTTGGAGCAGAATGCACGGCTAAACTCTCGTAATTACTGTTTATAGCTGGCCAAAGCTCTCTAGGAGAGGGCAAACCCGAGAGGAAATAAGTTTCCTGAACCTTTGAGAGGTAGCTGTGTATTAATTAAAGGCTAGGACGGGACGGGTGATTCTCAGACATGCTCCAAGTTGTTCTTCCGAGCTAGTTGGCATCACGTTTTCTTGGGAAGGAGTAGACACTCAGGATTTTTTTTTTCTGGTTGTCTTTTTCTTTTTCTCTTTAATTTTTCCTTTCCGCGTGTTGGTCTCATGGCCTTGAACCCGAAGTGAATTGAAGACAACAAGAAATGGATATGTCTGACCCCAATTTTTGGACTGTGCTCTCCAACTTTACTTTGCCTCACTTGAGAAGTGGGAACAGGCTGCGGCGCACACAAAGGTAAAAACGCGGGATCCTTAGCCGGGAGAGGGAATGCTTTCTCTTCCAGGAGGCCTTGGCAGCCAGGGTTTTGTTTATTGGGTGACAGTTTGAAAAGTTCACGCCTCGGGAGGGGGCCACCGTTTCAGGTGTTCCGTGGTCTGTGGCTTCCGGGTAATCCCGCGAACGCGCGGCTTAAGAGTTCCCCTTTGAAGTGAGGTTGCTGAGGTTTCCCTCTGAGTGGTGGGCAGTGCGGAAGGAGCTAGGGGATTTACTTTGTCTCGGTCTGACCATTTGATCTGATCATGTTTCTCCATCGCATTTGCCCATGCGTTGGGCCGTCTGGTACTCTTTGGAGAGCTTTTCAGGTGTTCCCCGCACCACCTATGTGACCTTTGTACGATACAGGTGTGGGATGCACGGGTAGCCCAAGTTAAGTCTGTTTCACCTCGGTTGCCTACAGAGGCAGATCTGCATAACTTTGCCATTTTGATTTTTTACTGGTTCCCTGGCATTTATTACCAATACAGGGCTGGCCTTTTCGTTTTGTCAACATGTTTGGCAGCCTAGGTGGGGGAAGAATTTAAAAGTCAAAATAAAGCTGGTGCTATAAGGGAAAGGCAGTTTGGAGTTAGTTTGCTGCCACTGGAAGTAAATGTATATGATTTTAAAGGAGACATTTTCCCACCACATTTCTATCCAGCACAGGAGAGTAGCGTGCTTGTGGCTTTAGCGGGGCGAATCCTCTGAGTTGTGTTAGGTACCGACTCCTGGTTTTTCATAAAACTCGCCTTGCACGTGCATGGGAACATGCCTGCAATGCTAGTCAAACAAACAGGATACAGGCTATCAGATCTGGAACCTCATAATTTCTATGCACTACTGTTCGAAGAACACACAAAAAATGGTTCTTTCTGTTTGTTTATACCTGTAGCTATTCTTAGTGTTAGTGCAAATGTGGAATATTTTGAAAAACTTAGTGTTCTTTTTGGACTTTCCCACGGTCTATCTTACATTGCAGAATACTCTCAAATATACTGTTTATACACCCTCACAAGTCACATATGTTTGTGCGTGTGTGTGAAATCTGACAGGTTTTTAAATAAAATTTGTCATGCGACTTGAACGGTGTTGATACATTAAACCACGTTGAGTTCTGAAGTTGTGTCTTTTAGATACTGTGGCTATGCTTTTCCTGTTCTGGGATATAATATGTTAAGAAACTCTCTTAATGTTGGTCATTTTGTTCAAGCTGTGTCATCTGTGTACTGTGTCTCCAAAACAGTACAGCTGGAGCGAGAGCTGTGAACAGGCTACTGCTCCTTGTGGTGGTAAATCCTCTAACTTCTCAACTACTGAGTTTGACAGGAGCTATTTCTGTTTCCAAGTGGCACAGTCCTGGCTTTCAGCGCAGCCTCTACTCTTCTGTGGAGCCAGTTCTTAGGGAATCAGGATTGCCCTGGTATCTTGTGAGTGTGATCCTGAAAAGCAGCTGGAGTCTTTCTTCCGTCTGCCTACCTGTCGATAGTGCTATTGGTAGAGTCCTCGCCAAAGGAATTCTCAGGCTGGTACAACCCTGGGTTCAGGGCAGTATCTGTCAGTCCTGAACACTCCAATTCAGAAAATCACACTGGTGGAGAACCTGGATTTTAAAGACGCCTACGTTCTTCCCAGCAAAATGGGAATACATGGGAGGCCATTTCTAATCTCTTAAGTCTGGCCCTATGTCTTTGGTTCATCAAAACAGATAGGGAGATGGATTTTCTTACTTCCCACCCGGGAGTAGAGGTTGTCATAGCCAGTTACTGGGCATTCCCAGGATTCTTGGAGTTTAGAAACAAGTTTGCTATCATCATCTCTACATCCATCCAATCACTATCTACTGCAAAGGAACCAGGCCTGCTTTATATTTACAGCCCAAGTAGCTTTTCTCAAAAGGCTTGAGACAAGAAGTGTCCCTGATTTCAGAGGTTTTCTGAATTTGGAATACTCACATAGGCACTTTACAAACTTTATTAGCTAAGCATTCCTAATCTAAAATAATCCAAAGCTGGGTGTGGTGGCACATACCTATAATCCCAGCACTCGGGAGGCTGAGGCAGGAGGATTATTGTGAGTTCAAGACCAACCTGGGCTACAAAGTGAGCTCAAGGCCAGCCTGAACTGCATAGCGAAAACCTGTCTCAATAAAGACAAAAAATAAAATAAAATAATCCAAAAAGTCTGAAACTTGTTGAGTGTACTTTTTGAATTTTCAGATTAGGGATACTTAACCTGAAATATGTACATTGGGAAAGAGGTAGGACAGATGCTTTCTCCAGGGAAATGTATATGGCTGTGCGTTGTATTATTATACATTGGTCAATTCTGGCTTGCTCCTTTCGTGAGGATGTGAAGCATATGCTTACATTGTGACATTTGCCTTTCCGGGATATCGTTTATCTGCTCACAATCCTGTCTCCTCTAAATCACTCCAGTGCTTGTCTGTCCGGTCAGCTTCCTTAAAGATCTTGCCAAGTTCTCCTGTCTCTCTGCCGGTCTCAAAGAGGGTGTCGTCAGTGTCCAGGCGAGGACACCTTGTCCTCACCCTCAGTCCCATGACTTTAGCCCTCCGAACCTGTCTTGTGCACAAGCCTAGCTTCTTTCCTGTGTGCTTGCTGACTTATCCAACAGATTGCATTCAGTATTTTATCCCTCCTCCAGGTTCTGATTCACATTGTAATCCACAGGCTTCATCCTAGCCTGTTCTTTAGTATCATCATCTTCTATCCAAATTCAGCTTTGAGTCTATGAATGTGTGTTATAGCACTCATCAGGACAGGAGGCTTGTACTCCTTAAGCAAAAGCAATTATGAATGGTCTCGGATTCCTGCTTTAAACCGCAATTGTGATAGTAACCCGCCCCATGCAAGCCCTTTGGTTTGCTGCCTCACACCTGCCCACCAGTCAGCATGGCACCTGTTCATTAGTTTGTCCTCTCACGAGAAAGTTTTTAAGATTTCTCTTCCAGTTCAGAGTCCTGGCTGGTCCCAAACTTGCAGAGTTCTTGGAGAGAGAGCCTACAGATTTGCTTTCAGGCCTTAATCTTTTGGAATGCAGATGACTGATGACCTAATACCTTTTGTGTCTGAGCTGTGTTCCAAATGTGGCCTACTATGCCCTTCATTCTTTTCTGTCTTGGCCACAGCAGACAGTGGGTGTCCCGATGGTGTCTGAGGCTTGGCTGTGGAGCTCAGATACGCCACCAGAAGTGGTTCTTTATTGTGACTCCTTCACTCTGCTTTCCCCTTCCCTGTTTCCTTAGGGCCGCCTCAGTTGCTCACTTGCAGCTTTGAGGGACAGAGATATGACTTCCTAAACCTTCCTTAACCTGAATATTTTGTTTTACACTGAGGTAAAATTCACATGTTTTGGAGACTTTAAACTTCACAGACCAGTAGGTGGTGTGTCCTCTGAAGGTCCACTCACAGCAGTCAAAGTGAGCCTGCATTCTCAGCGTTGCCCATGGGTATAGCGTCTTTTCCTCTCACCCACTGGATTAGGAACATTTGGGGGGTAAGACCAAGCCTTTCCTTCAGTATGTCTGTGTCACTGAGGTAGAGGCTACAGTGAACTTCTGAAAGTTGCTGGTAGGTTTGAGGTGGGCTTTAGTTGTCCTGAAATGCAGCCTGGGAAATGCAGAAAGTGTTTGATCTTTAGTTTTAAATGTTCAGAAATCCATCATGTTTTCATTTGGTGTAAGTGATAATCTCTGAACCAGGGTGATACCTAAATCAGTGAAACCCTTAATCACATCCGTTGGTGACTCAGTTGACCACCATAAGCAAGTTTTCAAATACATTTTCCTCAGAACCAAGGGATAAAAGCAGTTTTCCTGATTTGTTTGCTTTAATTTTGGTTTGGTTTGGTTTGTTGTGTTGAACTGGCATTACTCAGCAGTTGCTGTGAACAGCAGGTACATTCAGAGATCTTAAACTAACTGCTGTAGTTGGTGGGATATATTGAATTTTTAAGCACACTGTATTTTCCTTTCAGACATATCTGTGGTGCTTCGTGAGTTTTTTCATTTGTTTTGCTCATGAATGTATGAGAAGGACATAGAATAGACTTATCATCTGTCCCACTATTCTGAATATTAATGAAGTTGTACTCATCCCTTTTACCCGAAGCCCAATTAAATATACATTTATTAATTACCTACTGTGTACCTGGGCACTGTGATTTTAGGTGAAGGCCATAGGTCTGCCTCCCCCAGACATGTATTACAAGCAGGACAATGGAGAAGCGTTTGCAATACGTATTTGTAAGTATTTATAAGACATGGGTGTGGCCCATGTGTAAGAGAGACAGAAAAGGCATCAGTTCAGGAAGTTGTAAAAAAATAGGTTTGTATGTATCTGACAGGATATGGCCTTCACAAGGGGCAGGAGAAACAGCACATACAAAGGCATATTGGCCATGACAACACAGAAGTCAAGGGAGTAGACAGCTGGGTACTGCTGGAGTGGAAGGAAGCAGGGCATAGCTCAGTGTTGTTGGAGCAGAAAGAACCAGAACATAGCTCAGTACTGCTGAAGCAGAAAGCTTGAAGAGGCAGTCATGCCCAATGGTTAGAAGGATCAAGCTGCAGCCAGTTGACTTGTGTTCACATCTTGAC